TCAGCGCTGAACTCCATGTGGTGGAATTCTCGTCCCCCGGCGGCACCTTTTTTTGAATTTTCTTCCTTTTCACGCCGTTTTCGGGGATTTCGGATTTTTTTTTGAATTATTTCGCAATAATATTCGGAAAATAGATAACTTTTAACACATTTTAATGCAATAAAAATTTTTGGTCGGAGTCCCCCTTTAAAAATTAAAAATTCGTCCATAGAAAATGTAGAGAAAATAATTACGGTTTTTTTGAGCTATAGAACTCCTAGGAATGTCAAAAACTGAAAGACGAGATAGATTTTTTCTGTAAAAAACTTTTAAAACGACCATTTTTGACATTTTTTTTCCGTAAAACGACCATACATGGATCTATAACCACTAATTAATTTTTTAAGAATCATTTGAATCATCTTCAATCTCCACAAAATCAGATAAAAAATTCTGAAATTATGGTTTTAGACCTGCAATTTTGATCGCGCCAGACTTTTTTCTGTAGATCAAAAATTAATTTGCAGTTCGGAATTGTTCTGTGGGAGAGCGTGCATTAACGAAAAAAAACTATGAAATTGTTGAAATTTTCAAGAAAAAAGATTTGTAGTCCTCGAGGACAAGCAATTTGGGGTGTCGAAATCCGGCTGTGTATAAAATCATGGTATTCTAGAGAAGGCGGATACATAAATAGAACATAAGCATAAATAGAACTTTGAATATTAAATACAAAAAAACTGTTTTTCCTAACGATGCTCCACTTTTACAGGTGCGCCTATTTTAGCAGCTTTGCAGCCGTTCGAACCTGGTTCTGTTTTCTCCAGACCCCCCTTCTCTCCCAGTTTTCTCCCGTCGAATCTCTTTTTTTGATTTTTAAACATTTTTCGCTGAAAATGAGCAAAGGTTTATGTTTTTGGCCCATTCCGCCATTAATCGAGCGAAAAGCTTGGAGCTTTCGTCGCTGTGATTAGAACATAACAGAAAATCCAGGAAAAATCGTTGAATATGTGAGACTTGTAACGTAGAGGAAAGAGAAAAATATTTTTAAAGATCAAACGAGTAGTAAAAAATATGAATGAAAAGAGAAATCAACATTTTTAGAGCTAGCAAGAGAGCAGAAAATTGTGTTACTGATAAGAAGAATCAATATTTTCATTATCAGTTTTTCGGGCTTGTTTTAAATTTTTCTGTCTTCATCTGAAAAGTGAAAATCGAAAATTTCAACCAGATTTTGAATTTAAAAAGTGAAGAAACATTTCAAGATGCTTCTGAATTTTGGAATTACCGCATGAAAAAAACACATGTCGGATACTGTATAAAAATGTTGGATACTGTATAAAAACTGAAAATTTCCTATTTATTTCTGTAATTAAATAAAAAACTTCATTTCAAAAAATTATTTAAAAAAATCACAAAACATCAGAGAGATTTCAAAAGTTGTCTGAAAATCAGCGAGCTAGTTCTATCTGATAACTTTTCGAATTCCGGAGACTTCTCCAATTTCTTAGCCATCGCCAGTGAGTTCATTTGACTGATACACTTCTCTAGAAGCTTCGGCATTTGGTATTCATCAGCAAACCATAACATTTTCTCATATCCAATTGTTGAATTGTTAAGAAGATGATATTCAACGATTCCAACAACTGATGACACTTGAAAACGGCTAGCCATCTCCAGAAGTTTCTCAGAAGTACTATCTGAAACTTTATGAAGATTTTTTTCGAATAAAAATAGATAAATTCACCATTCGGAAATTGTGGATTTGGATAGAAACTACTGCAGAGAAGTCCAAAATCTTCATAAGAAACTTCTTTGATTTCAATTTCTTTCATTTGCCCTTCCTTGAAATTCGCAGAGAAAAGAGTCGAGAAATAGTGAAAGGAGAGGAACTGGAAAAATTGGAATTCGGGAACTTTCTAGAATATTCAGACGCTTACTGTTTTATTCACATTCAGCTTCTTTCCCTCGACAACAAGAACCACATCTGTTTTTTCGGATGCCACAAACATTTCGTCATCAACACTTTTTTGGGGTTCAAAGCAATTCAAAAGAAACCTTTTCGAGTAAAATCTTTGGGGGTGAATGCAATTCAAAGGGTGGTCTGGAAATATATTTTCAGAAAAATTCAAAAAAAACTAACTCACCATTTCCCCAAAAGACACTGTATCCTGCTCTTGCATTGATCAATCCTTGACTTAAAAATGATCCATCGGTATATGCCACTAGATTACTGTAGTTTGAGGGAAAATATATGTGAATGCAAAATTAGAGAGAAAATTTTTTTCTTTGGCTTTTTTTTTTCAAAAAAAGTGAGAAGAGCGAAATTTTGGCGGATAGATCAAAAGTTGAATTTTTCGAAAAAAAAATCAAATTTCAGCAACACGATTGTAATTTGAATTTCCTGAAGTGGAGCATTTACTGAAGGCTTTCCTTGTTCTTATAAAAATTAATAGGCTAAATCAAAGTTTATTATTTTATAACACAATTGATGATCCGCTCTCGTCGTATTCTTCCTTGATGATCTTGAAGAAATCGAAAAAAAGTTTTTGGGAGTTTTTAAAATCATGTCCATATTGTCACAGTCATTGAAATGAATGAAATCTGAACTTTTGATTTTCAGATTTTTAATTTTCAATAGTTTAAAACTCACATCACAAAAAAAATCAAGTAAAAGGTCTACATTCAGAAGGTGACCAAAAAAAAAGAGAATAAAATGAACAAATGTCTGCCATCTCAGTTTATATACTATTTTTGAAAATGAGTCATCAAAGGTTTTTGTTTTTCCAGGCTTTGAAAATGACGAATTAATGTTGTGAATCCTCAAATAATTGTTTGGATCCTCAAATGACTCATTGTTTGTATGAGAAAGTTTTCTGATTGTGAGATCTTGTATTCTATTTGAGCTTAATTATTTCGGTTTCTATGAGTGATATCAAAACTTGTTAACTGAAAAAAATGTTGCTGATATTAAAGGTGGGGGAACAGGTGACTTTTTGTAGTTTTTTTGTACTAGAGTATGCATTCTACCGTCACGGTGTACAACGCTTAATGTCACTCTGCGTACAGCTGTCGTCCTCGCCTTTATGTATGCAATCGGGCGTGCGCTTTCTCTTTGCCCGCGTAGCTCAGTCGGTAGCGGCGCCGCACCCTCAATCCTCGCCCCCGCTAGTTCAACTCCTCGAGGGGCATATTCAGACGGAATTTCGAGAGAATTATCTGGGTCCTGGGTCCTGGGTCCTGGGTCCTGGGTCCTGTGTCCTGGGTCCTGGGTCCTGGGTCCTGGGTCCTGGGTCCTGGGTCCTGGGTCCTGGGTCCTGGGTCCTGGGTCCTGGGTCCTGGGTCCTGGGTCCTGGGTCCTGGGTCCTGGGTCCTGGGTCCTGGGTCCTGGGTCCTGGGTCCTGGGTCCTGGGTCCTGGGTCTTGGGTCCTGGGTCCTGGGTCCTGGGTCCTGGGTCCTGGGTCCTGGGTCCTGGGTCCTGGGTCCTGGGTCCTGGGTCCTGGGTCCTGGGTCCTGGCTGGGTCCTGGGTCCTGGGTCCTGGGTCCTGGGTCCTGGGTCCTGGCTGGGTCCTGGGTCCTGGGTACCCTGGTCTTGGGACCCCAAAGTTATTACTTCCCAGATTTTGGTATTTTTCAGAGATCCAGAATATTTTTGAGATATCTCAAAATCTGATTTTATTGTTTTTCATTTCTATTATCCAAATATGTTCGATTCCAGAATAGGTGGTAAACATCCCCTATTTTTTGAGTTAAAAATATTTTTTTTCTTGATTGCTCAGGCTTAATATTATGAATGTCAGGAGATTTTTTGATTGAATTTCGTGTCAGGAACGGGAAAATAGAATGGTTAAAATTAGATTTTTTATTGGGGAAAATATTTGATATTTGGATTTTTCAGGAATTTATCATTTCGAATTTTCAAGATCCCAGGTTTTAGATTTTTTTTTATTGAATTAGAAAAATGAACTTTAAGATTTTCCAGATTTTTTCAAAATTTCAGATTTTCAGATTTTTGGGATTTTCAGCATTCTCTGAACCTACTATAGAGTATTTTTCTGAAACAGGTGAACTTTTTTTTTACGATTCTGACATTTTTTTTTTCAGCTGACAGATGTCAGATGACGTTAGAAAAGGTTTTTGGAGTTTTCTAGGATTTTCAGATTTTCAGAACTCGAAAAAAAAAATTTTCCCTATGTTTTTTTTCAGAAGTTTTGATTTTTTGGATTTTCAAAGAATGAAAAACTTAGAAAAAGAAAATCAACTTCCTTATTTTTGTCCTCGCCGCCGACAATTCTATTTTAATTTCATACTAAAAATTATATTTTTGATTGATTAAATTTATAAAAATATCCCCAAAATGGGAATATATTTTTGACGACATTTTTCGACTTTTGGCCAATGGATTTTTGGATTTTTATTCGAAAAAATACCGAAAACCTGTAATAGAAGGGCCAACCCTTCTACTGTTCCAAGGTACCTCCGGAGGGCCCCTCTATTACAGGGGCCCTTTAATTAGAGGGGGGGGGGCGCTTCTTTATTCCCGGCCAGTTTTTTCGAAGTTTTGCATCGAAACTCATGAAAATCTGCCAATATCACAACAAATTTAGCAAGATTTTCATCGAAAAATAGAGTTTTCACAAATTTCTGATATCAAAACACACTTTTTTATAAGGGGCCCTTCTATTAGAGGGGACCTTCTAATACAGGTTTTACGGTAACCGGAAATCGGCTGGAAACGACTAAAACATTTAATAATTTCAGTATTCTTCTGAATTTCTGAATTTATGAATTTCTGAATTTTTGAATTTCTGAATTTATGAATTTCTGATTTTCTGAATTTCTGAATTTATGAATTTCTGAATTTCTGAATTTCTGAATTTCTGAATTTCTGAATTTCTGAATTTCTGAATTTCTGAATTTCTGAATTTTTGGATTTCTGAATTTCTGAATTTCTGAATTTTTGGATTTCTGAATTTCTGAATTTCTGAATTTCTGAATTTATGAATTTCTGAATTTATGAATTTCTGAATTTCTGAATTTCTGAATTTCTGAATTTCTGAATTTCTGAATTTCTGAAT